TCTAAATTGATTTTAGGGTTCTTAAGACCGGGGACAATAACGAGTTAAGAATATATATTCTTCTTTCATATATTTTCATGGTGGCAAATTATATGGCGTTACACGACATGTCACGAAGAATATTGTTGTCCGGACTTACCAAACGATTGAAACCCATCGGTGCAAACACCTAATCTAACATTCCTAATTTCGATGCAAAAGAAGGATGTGTTTGGTCAAAATGTCGCCATGCGAAGGAGTCGAACAATGATGCATGACGTTGGGCTCACACACATGTTGCGCATGTCATGTCATGTCATTAGCGGTGGCATTTGATGCATACATCCTTTGTAATCGTGGGGTTATCGAAAAATAATATATTTTTTTGTAGGGGACAAATGTTTGTCTAATCGAACCCCGCCTAGGATTTCGATATCGAGGATGATCACATATTTTATAAGAGATTCTCCGGTTGTCCGACCCCGATAAATCATGCAACCATTAATGCAACGAGTGGATCTTTTCAATGGGCAAATCCATCATTTCTATCATTTTTTTGTACTATAAAAGTCTTCGGCATACGGTTATCGGGAGGCATCAACTCTTTCATAATTTGACATAAATCGTCGCAACATCTCTCTAAAAAATGATGCTCGGACTTGAGATGCAACAAACGAGACATTGCGGATAGCTGCGAATGGTTTTCGACCCGAGCCATATTTCTCTATTCGATGCATCTAATAAATCATAAAATGCTTGTGCGAAGGGTTTGGGTCTTCGTACTGTGTTAGACGGATTAAAAGATGGACCAGTTGCATCCATTACCATTATGTGGTATCGATTAACTTGACGATCATCACATATTTGTTCTTGTTCAACATTATTAAACGAATTGGCATTAATTGCTAAATCACTCTCCATGACGTCTCCACACATAATACCCGGACACAAACCCATATCTAAGCAAATGATACTTAACGGTATCGGGGTTTTCATAACTACGATTTTGACATTTTTTTTATTTACATGGACATTGTATGTTATTTCCATCCATGCACTTGTGGATGACTAACCTCAAAGTTAATAAATTCATTAACCCCTTCTACGAAACGCTCATTTAATAATCCACCGGTTAATCTAAAGTCAATCCAAGAGCGATCCAAATTCATTTTAAACAAAATAGTAATCAAGTAATTATATTAATTGTTTATGTAATTACTTAAATTACTTTTATTACTAAATCTAAAATCTTTTTTTGTTACACACAAGTTATTTTCTAAATATATAAACAAGCTAAGTTTAGAAAAAAATGTTAAATAAAACTTATTTATTTATTTAATTACTAACAATTACAAATATTTCATATAATTTTATTTTTTATCTATTTAAAATTTATTTCAGAACATTTTTTAAATACAACTTAATTATTTATTTAATTACTAACAATTACAAATATTTCCTATAATTTTATTTTTTATCTATTTAAAATTTATTTCAGAACATTTTTTAAATACAACTTAATTATTTATTTAATTACTAACAATTACAAATATTTCCTATAATTTTATTTTTTTATCTATTTAAAATTAATTTCAGAAAATTTTTTAAATACAACTTAATTATTTATTTAATTACTAACGATTACAAATATTTCCTATAATTTTATTTTTTATCTATTTAAAATTTATTTCGAAACGTTTTTTTAATACAAATTAATTATTTATTTAATTCCTAACAATTACAAATTTTTCTAATAACTTTATTTTTTATCTATTTAAAATTTATTTCAAAAAAGTTTTTAAATACAACTTAATTATTTATTTAATTCCTAACAATTACAAATATTTCTAATAACTTTATTTTTTATCTATTTAAAATTAATCTTAGAAACTTTTTTTAATAAAAATTAATTATTTATTTAATTCCTAACAATTACAAATATTTCTAATAACTTTATTTTTTATCTATTTAAAATTTATTTCATAAAATTTTTTAAATACAACTTAATTATTTATTTAATTCCTAACAATTACAAATATTTCTAATAACTTTATTTTTTATCTATTTAAAATTAATTTTAGAAATTTTTTTAATACAACTTAATTATTTATTTAATTCCTAACAATTACAAATATTTCTAATAACTTTATTTTTTATTTATTTAAAATTTATTTCAGAAATTTTTTTAAAAGACAACTTAATTATTTATTTGATTCTTAACAATTACAAATATTTCTAATAACTTTATTTTTTATTTATTTAAAATTAATTTTAGAAAATTGTTTTGATTTATTTTGTACTAACCTAACGCTTTAACTTAATGAACAAGGAATTACTGAAATTAATAATGTTTTCAATAAATTGTGAATTACTTAAGTAAATTAACAATTATTAGCTACACTAATAACAATAACAATAACAATTTAAATAACAACATAAAATAAAATATAACAATTATATTTTCTAACAAAAAAATTAACAATAAATTAAAGTAAGTAAATTAACAATTAACAATCAAATTAATTCAATCAACAATTAAAAAAAATAACACAAAATTAAAAAGTTAACAATAATATTCAATTAATCAATAATTAGCAACAACATTAACATAACAATTAACAATTAAACATTTCAATTAACTATCACAATTTACACTAAAATAACACACAAAATAAATTTTAATTAAATAATCAAATTAAAAAAAACACATGCAATGAACAATCGATTCGATAATTAAACTAGCAATAATAAGTAATTAAAAAAAATTAAAAAAAAATCTAATTATTTGACATAAATAAATAACTGAAAAAATTAATAATTGAAAGGATGATTTAGATTTAGGTGGACTCGTCACCAAGAGAAGGAGGGGCGACAACCATCGGAAAAAAATACCTCGTTGGAATATGGTCGTCGAAAAACGACGGCTTCAACGGAAGAGAGAAAACTTGAAAGGAGGAGGAAAAGAGGGAAGAAATATGAAGATTTTAAGGAAAAAATAGCTTTAAGGAGAGAGAGCAAAGGATTGGAGAAAAAAAGACGAAATGTCGTCTGTCGGAGGAGAAGAAGAGAGGAGAAGAAAGCAAAGAATGACGGATTCCGATCGATCGCTATTTATAGAAGGATAAAGTTTTTAGCGACGGTCGCGGACCGTCGCTAAACGTAAATTTGAAATTAAATTTGACCGTTTCCCACCAACGGTTTACTTTTAGCGACGAGTTCGTGATCGTCGCTAATTTAACGTTTGCAACGGTTATTTTTGCAACCGTTAAAATAATAAAATTAAATTACCAATGGGTTAAGACCGTCGCTAAAGCTCGTTTCTAAACCGTTTCCGAGTTGATTTGGCAACGTTTTAGCGACGGTCTAGGACCGTTGCTAATGTAACGTTTGCAACGGTTATTTTGGCAACCGTTAAAATAAAAAAATAAATTACCAATGGTTTAGCAACGGTTTGAGATTGTCATTAAAGCTGAAGTATTTTTTTGGTTAATTTGGTGACGTTTTAGCAACGGTCTAGGACCGTTGCTAAAACGAATATTTTGGCAACGGTTTAATAACACCAAACCGTTGCTAATTTTCTTTTTGGTAACGGAATAGCGACGGTCTATGACCGTTGTGAAATTTATTTTTTATTTAGGGTTTTTTTTTATAAAACCGTTGAAAAATATTAAATAACATTTACCAACGGTTTAGACCGTTGTTAAATTTGCAATGATTTTCTTAAATATATAAACCGTCGCTAAAATGGTTAGCCTATAACATTAACAACGGATTGGTGGACCGTTGCTAAAAAACCGTCGTAAAATTTAATTTTTGTAACTATTTTTTAGACCGTTGCTAATCTAAGTATTTAGCGACAGATTGTTGACCGTTGCTAAAACTCATTTTTGTTGTAGTGTAAGTTTCTTTTTAGATAATTTTGAAAGTTCATCCTCATATGTGCTTTGTGCAATAAAAGAACGTTTATAAATTCTCTCGAATTCACTAGGTATATATATATATATATATATATATATTTAATTACTTTGTATGTCAATTGAAATTGAGTTTCTTTTTAGATGATTTTAAAAGTTCATCCTCATATGTGTTTTGTGTAATAAAAAAACGTTTATAAATTCTCCGAATTCACTAGGTATATATATATATATATATATATATATATATATATATATATATATATATATATATTTAATTACTTTGTATGTCAATTGAAATTGAGTTTCTTTTTAGATGATTTTAAAAGTTCATCCTCATATGTGCTTTGTGTAATAAAAAAACGTTTATAAATTCTTTGAATTCACTAGGTATATATATATATATATTCAATTACTTTGTATGTAAATTGAAATTGAGTTTTTTTAGATGATTTTAAAAGTTCATCCTCATATGTGTTTTGTGTAATAAAAAAAATTTATAAATTCTCTGAATTGGCCAGGTGAAGAAATAGAGAAAATTTTCTTTAACCATCAAGCCGATCTTTTAAAATTACTATCAAAGAATCTTGATTGGCCATTTGTTTTGGAGGGACAGTTAATTTCCTCATTCAACAAACATACATACATATATATATATACACATACATACATATATATAGATACACATACATATATACACATACATACATACATACATATATATATATATATATATATATGTATTAAAGGTTAGCAACGAAGTAACTTTTTAGAAAAGTACAAGGGACACAGTACTGAAATAAAAGATAAAATCTGAAAGGGTAAATATGAAATTTGCCATCGAGGGAGAAATTGACGGAGAGGGGGAGTTATGTAGTTTCCATCTTTTAAAAAACAACACGTTAGCTTTCGCCTCTGCAGATGCCATTTACTAATCAGTGCAATTAAGCCAGACCAGAAGCCCCGCTCTGTCTGCTTGTCCCTCCCCTTTTCTGTCTAGAGCTAGCTCCTTCCATTCCGAAGTTGGAAGAAATACCTTCTGGGTTTTTATTTTTTAGTATTTCTATTCAATTTTCCTTTAGGTTTTCAGCAAAATACATTATGAACATGGCTCTTAAGCTTGGGCCTTTACCAGTAATGGGAGTCAATGTTACCAAAAAATGTGCAAGTTCAAAGACTAGTAAACTTAAAGTTTTTGCTGTTGATGTAGATGGTGAAGCTGAGTTTCCTTCATTTCTTCCAAAAGAGGTAGAGAAGATCAAAGACCCATTTGCAAGATCTTTGGCTAAAAGAATAGAGAGGTTGCCTGTGCAGGTTAGTCATGATCATGATCGTGATTTTTTGATTCTACGCGACTCTCCTTTTTGTTTTCTTGTTTAATTTTCTCCAATGTTTAGCTGTGTTAATTTGGCTTTGCGCACAGTTTATTTAAGACCATTATTAATATTAATTATATGTTATTATCGTCGTTATAGGCAACATGATATAAATAAGTGAACAAACAAAATAGTATCATGCGTTGTGTTTAATTGTGTTCATGTTAATTTCGCATTAATTTTTTTTTCTAGTGATGATTTTTGGTGGAAATTTATACTGATTGCTAAATGTCATGCATGTATATGTGTGTACAGATAAAACCTATCTTTTATTTTATTTTTATTTTTTAATTTTTTCTTCATATTTAAATTAATAACAAAATCTACTTGAACATAAAAGGAGAGGGAAAAAAAAGGAGAAAAGGAAAGTATTTAATGACGCTGCTAATTTTTTTTTAAAAAAAAAATTTAATAACGCTGCTAATTCTACCTGAAATTCTTCCATTGCAATATAGGGAAATAGTGTTATTGATTATTACATGAAAAATTGTCATTTTCTCTTACCAAAATTTGATCGGGGGAAAGATTATGTTCTCGAGGAAATGCTCAGAGAACTGAAACTGTCATTTTCTCTTCTGTCTTTTGTGTTTTTGTTATCTCTTTTGAGTAAATTATAAATTAGTCCCGATATTAATTAATCTTTTCTGTTTTAAAAAATAAATAAGTAGCACTCTTTATCTATTTTATATATTTTTTTAATTTATTTTGTTTTAAAAAAAATAAAAAAATAAATATTATAGAATGATTGACGAGAAAAAGATATTTTTAAAATAAAATAAAATAATATTTATTAAATGAGATCTTAATTTATTACAAAAAAAAAACAAAATAATTTGGAGTAGATTCATTATCCAACAAAGAGAAAATTTTAATGATAAAATAACCCAGTACTTCAGAGGAATTTCAAGGTTTGTACTTTTATCATTTATGGCAAGAGGATGCAGATATTTCTTTTGGGGCTCAAAAATCGAGGCAATGAATTGTTGATATTTATGAACCGACCTAAGACTGTGGTTCTACTCTTTATTAAAATAGGGTAGGTATCTGCACAGACTGCACCACATGCATGGTCCCCATCGAGGCCATAAAAGTAAATTTATTACTCATTGTCTTCTCGCTTATTTTTCAACATACCCCAACTACTATTTGCTCCCTCCATTTGTACGCATCAGCAGAGGATCTATCTGGTCCTGTGCTTATGTACAATGAATCTGATTTTTGAGAGAGAGAGAGAGAGAGAGAGAGAGAGAGAGGGGTCCTCTTCAGGACCCAAAGTTGGACAAAAATGGATCACATTACTTTCTTGATACTAAACCATCACGTCACCCATCGGGCATGCACTTTCATGTTTTTGGTATTAATTCTACTGCTTTCGTTCGGAAAAAAACAAAATTACGCAAAAATAGTACATCATAAACTTATGGCAATTGTACTTCTTTTGAACCTAGCCAGCTAGGCACCATGGATTTTAACCAGTTTCTTGCCTCAACGTATGCCATCATGAAAATCTACAACAAGGGGAAAAAAAAAAAAAACAGTGGTTGTTATGAATACAGACCGCCTGCTTTAAAGTTGAAAGACAAACTATGGACTAAATGAAATCTTGGGTTGGAGCTAGAGTTGAGCCCTTTTAAACAGAAACTGAATCGATTTCAGTTTGGTTTTTATCTCGAAATTTTAGGAAAAAAACCGAACTTTTTTTTTAATTAAAAATAATGTACTCATCATAGTTTCATTCTATATTGCCTCATTATACATTGCTTCAATTCAAACTTCTTATTTCTTATCAATTCGTGCTTGGAATGATCATATCCATTACTTTAACAAAATTCGGATGCAACCAGGGAGATGTCCAAGAAGTACACTCTTAAGTTAGACAACATAGATAACAATTTTTTTTTTTTTAATATGAATTGACTGATGTGATGCATTGATTTAAACTTTTTTCAACTTTTAAAATAATGTAAAAAAATCGATACTTAACATTCGAAGAATTATTAAAAATTAAACCAAAATTATTAAAGACCAAACCAAAAAAACCAAACAATCACTCTCTAAAAGCCGAACTCATCTGGAAAGCATCAAATGTGATTGAAAAAGTCAAAACCCTAGGGTTAGTGTACATATATGTGTATATATCAAGACAACCAATCCCTCCACATTCATTTGAATTCATTTTGTTACACTTAATAATGTTTCTAACCCTTACAAAATTCCATTTGCTTTTGATTTTACAATTGGAATGAAATTATTTATGCAAATTTAGGACCTTTTTTATTTTAACCATCTTAATTTATAGTATTTCTAAGAATGAATTCAAAGTAGCCTCTCAATCTGACTTGTGAGGCTTATTGTGTATCATAATTGCAGACTGGATTTTCAGAAAACTATATCATGAGTAGTTGTGTTAAACCACTGAGACAAAGTGACAAAACCAGTCCAGTGGTTCTTCTGCATTCCTTCGACAGGTTTGAAACTCATGCAAATTATTATACAATGATCATAACTATATTTTTTTTCCCTGCTGTTATTCTGTTGTTCAACGTACGTGCTTGCGTGCATGTGTGGAAAGCTGTAGTTATATGTTATTTTGAATTCTGAAGTTGGTTTTCCTATGTTGCATTGTATAGTTCTTGTTTAGAATGGAGATGCATATATCCCTTGCTTGAGGAGGCTGGTTTGGAAGCTTGGGCTGTTGATGTTCTTGGATGGGGCTTCTCTGATTTAGGTACCCTCATTTAGACAGTATTAAGTTATATACTTGCAGTTTCTTAATTTCTCTTTACATCTTCTTAAATGTGATCACTTTTGCTGTGTGTAATATAGAAACCTGTCCATCATGTGAGGTTGCATCCAAGCGTCATCACCTATATCAGGTTTGTTCTTGAACTCCTTGGCTCTTTAAACTTGGAACTGCTGTTTCAATCACTTGCCTACGTCATTGAAATGGCTGTGAACCAATGTGTATGATGACTGGATATTTGTATAATGTATATAAAGGCAATCGTGGCTTATTGACCTATATATGTATGTATGTATGCTTGATATTGCCGTTATATATATAGTTGAATTTAAGACCGCCTGCTCAGAAACTAAGTGATATTTTTTTCTCCATTAAATACTAGCTTTGGGAGTCTTACATCAAAAGGCCAATGATATTAGTTGGACCTAGTCTTGGCGCTTCTGTTGCAATTGATTTTACAGTCCATTATCCAGAAGCTGTAAGTGATCTTCTCAAATACATGTTGCCCTTAAAAATCATTACATTGCAATATGCAGTCTTATGTTCATGTCAATTTATCAAATGCTAAGCTCTTTAATGATGTCAATTAAGCTGTAAGTTATCAAATGCTTAGCTCCTGATCGCAATTCAAATCAAAATCTGAAATCTGTTGAAGGTCTTGGAAAAATATGGTTGGAAAAGAATTTAAGAAAACTTTGATGTGGAATAATTCACTAGACGGGTTTATGTTGAATCAAGAAGACTTGATAAGGTTTTTGTATCATTTCAGTTTTTCTCATTTCCCCAAGTTTCAGAGATAAGTTCATAGCGTCTTTAACTCGAGAGGTGCATGATGGTGGTGTGGGGTTAGTAGAAAAAGAAAAACATTAACAATAGCAGATTACAAGTTGCAAACTGACCTGTCCAAGTCTAAGAATAAAAAATTTCCAAAACTTCTAAGATGACTAATTGTAGGTCAAAATGCTCAGCCTTGTATCTTTTCCTGTTTTTCACTTTTCATGTGATTGAAGTTGTACTCATGAAAATCATCTGTGGTTTTGTTTATCCACATATAAAAGAAAAGGTGCTGTACTCATGCACAGCTTCCATGGCCACACTCTTCAGCCTAGATACTGCAATGGAGGCAATGATGCCTGGTCTTGCACTCTAGTTTGCATCTTGCTTCATCTCTTATTCTAGTTTCCGGTTAGTAGCTACTTCAGTGACGATATTTGTTTTATTAAACATGATCTCTATATTTGACAGGTTGAAAGGCTGGTGTTGATCAACCCATGTGTGTATGCTGAAGGCACTGGATCTCTTGCAAATTTACCAGAATTGGTAGCCTATGCTGGGGTACGTCTAGATATCTACCCTTCTGTCATATATATACTCGTTCATGACATTCATCTTAACCGATCAAGCTTATTTAGGAAAAGACTACATCTAGCAATTGTGGGTTTTCTGTGTTTCTAACCTTATGGTTTTTTTATGGATCAGGTTTCTTTCTTAAAGAGCCTCCCATTGCGCTTTTATGCAAACATGTTGGCCTTCAATGGTATTCAATTGCTTACAATCTTGGACTGGACTAATGTAAGTGTGTTTGTTCTTTCTCAGACAAAATAATTTGTCTCTTTCTTAACTGTTTTCTTTGCTGATCTTTTATTTTGATGGGACTTGTTTTCTTACCATAACCACTGAGAATTAAAGTATATATAGTTGAATCTTTTTAGTCGAAGTTGTAGGTTTTGCCTAAAGTTGTTTAAGGTGATATGTAATGCCTATGTTGTTCTCTTGTCATGATTTAGGTGGGCCGATTGCATTGTCTGTTGCCATGGTGGAAAGATGCAACTGTCAGTTTTATGTTTAGTGGGGGCTATAATGTTACTTCCCACATAAAACAGGTACAATATTGATTTTCATGCTGAAATAACAATCATGAGAAAGGATTGCATCCATACTTCTTAATTTGTCGTAGCCATTTTAGTGAAGTTCCTTTTAGTTGATGTTGATTAAGTGTATAAATTCATTAAGTTGGTGATGAATTAAATTTCATGAAATACCATGTTAGTATGTTAGTGCAACTTTAAGTTCCTTTTAGTTGATGTTGATTAAGTGTATAAATTCATTAAGTTGGTGATGAATTAAATTTCATGAAATACCATGTTAGTATGTTAGTGCAACTAAAAAAAAAAAAAACCAAGAGTGTTGGTGGAACTTTTGGTAGTTCGGCATTAAAATTATTTTCTTCGTGAAGTAGCATAAACTCGAGCTTTAAAAAAGAATCACTTGAAATGAAGTATTTTTATTTTTGATTTTGTTTTAGCAATGAATTTTAGATGTTTATGGTTGAATTGGGGTCTAGTAGAAATGAAGGGCACAAATAGAATAATATTGCTTATCTTCATCATATTGAGAACTGATTGAAGGTAAATAATTTATATAGTAAACTCTGTCGGTCATGCTTTAAACAGTGCAGATGATTAAATTCAGTGGTGATCAAAGTCTTAAACTAAGACATATGAAGTTATTTGATTATGTATGTTGTTATGCACCAATTGCTGCATGTATTCTTGTTACTAAACAGGTAAAGCACAAAACCCTTATCATATGTGGGGAGAATGATCGGATTGTGAGCTACAAGCTTGTAGTGGTAAGTTTTTAATCATATCTATTTTTCTTTTAGAAGAAGTTGTTATCGCTTTGTATATCTACTTCGAAACAATGTTCTTCTTATTATTTTCATTTTAAAACTTACCTTTCTTGGCGTCTAAATCTATTGAACTTACCAACTCTTAAAGCTGGTTAACTACTGTAATTGACTTACAAGGTTATCACCTTATTCTACTATTAAGACTTTTCTTCCTAATGTCTTCATTGAATGCCATGCAGAAATTGCACTCTGAACTATCTGATGCAATCATTCGAGAAGTATCTGATTCTGGACATCTCCCTCATGTGGATAATCCCAAACGAGTTGCAAAATTAATTGTTAATTTTGCTCAAGGCGACACTGATGTTGATGCCAAGAGCCTGTTTTGCCTGGCTCAGTTAACGGCTTTACGCAGGTAGAAAGGCTCATGGTAGTGATATGTAATGGAATAATTACCCACAGCAGTGTGGTATTTCGTTAATAGAAAATTAAATCCTTATTCCTTACATGTTAGTCTTCTGTACATATTGAAACTAAAACATTGTCACATTTTATGGATTTCTACTTAATCCTAATGCAATATTTTTGTTCAACTTTGAAGTTTACACTTAAAATTTCAGTGTCTGAGTTTGGGTTTACAGAAATATGCTATTGCGTTTTTTTTTTTTTTCACCCTCTTTTGAACATAAGATATGCTGCTGCAGTCTGTTCCATAGTTAACCATGTGGTGGATCTATTGTATTCTTTAAGGTTGCAACAAATGATCTGACCTGTTCAATTCTGGGATTATGTGCATGGAGACAATGGCCAGACCAACAATGTGATACGTAGGGATCGAAAGTGGATAAGCTGTCTTTGCCTGGTCGCACTATGCTAACTGCCCATGTATCTTATGCAAACGGCTAAACTTTTTAAGGTGACTTGTAAGAGGATCGAGCAAACTTTGTAGGGGTTTTATTCGAGCAGAGAATTGTGGAATGAGCATTCGACCTCTGAAGTCAGATTCGGTCAGCGTTATTGCTTGGATGCACAAAATTTTAGCCGCTAGATCTTGAAAACTTCACATTATTTTTAATCATATTTCTAATTTAATAATCTGATTAAAATCTGTTTTTTTTTTTCCTCATATTCAAAAGAAAAGAACTAGAAAACTGATCGACTTTCTAGTTAAGTTTAGTATACAAAAGTCTAATGACTTCCTAGCTTAATTGTATTTTTTTTTTAACCAGCCTCTTACTGGTTTATGCCTATGATATAATCTTCGACTTCATCAAAAGTCATCATCTTGTAAATCACCTAGTAGTTCCATAGATGGATTGTACTCGATCTCATCCATATATATCTCTAACCCAAGAGATCTAATAGTTCTGCTACCATCCATGCAACTATACTTGTTAGGCAAAAAAACACAAATAACACAGCGAGAACCCCTTTGTCCTTACTTGAACAATCAACCACAGAGCTACAACCAAATACCCAAGCTAAACAAGTAACTAATAATCTGAAAAATAAGCAACCAATCACAATTATACAAAGTACACACAAATTTTTACGTAGAAAACCTCCTCGATTTGAGAAGGGAAAAACCACGGGATCGGAGTCCACTATAACTTCCACTATCAACAACAATGGGTACAAGGAGTCCTCTCTAGATTAAACTAGATGAATAATCAGCCACAAATATCAAAGATTACACACCCTTGGCAAACCACATCAAAAGATGATACACAAAAAAAGTAGAAGAAACCAAGTTCGGACTTCACTAGAAAACAACACCGTTATGAGCATAATATCTCCCTCTCTAGGACTCAAAACCAGATCTTCACCGCCCATAATGTGCGCCTACTTCTCCTGAACTTGCCCACCAAATTTGCGCTCAATCCAACGGTTAACGAACCCAAAAACTCAATTTTAACTTGACCGATCTATGCTTGAAACTCCTTTTCTTTTCTCTCAAAAGTTGCGGCTCTCAATCCTTTTCTCTTCTTTTTCTCTCTTACTTCTTCTCCGATTTCAGAATAAAATAGAAGATAGAGTTTATTTTAAAATACCAAAATTACCCTTTAAGTGATTAAAAAATTTTCCTCTACATGGGCTCCAAAATTGAGCTCATGTAGGCAAACCTTTGGGTCATCCTCTAACTAGGAGGGAAACCCAACAAATCTCCCCCTCAATACTAGGTGGAGGTATTCGCCATCTTGATGACCGAACGACAAGCCTCAAGTTTCTCCCTTGGTAATGCTTTAGTCAATATATCGGAACCATTATCATCGGTGTAGATTTTCTCAAGTTCCAACAACTTGCAATTCAAAACATCTCTAATCCAATGATATCGAACATCAATATGCTTCGATCTAGCATGAAATGTAGAATTTTTACCAAGGTAATAGCACTCGACTATCACAAAACAACACATACCTATCTTGCTTGAAGCCGAGTTCCCGAACATATTTCTTTATCTATAGCAACTCTTTATAAGCTTCCGTTCGTTGTAATGAATCTCGCCTCGGTAGTGGAAAGAGCAACACACTTCGCAGTCTAGATTGCCAAGCCACAACCCCTCCGCAAAAGTAATCAAATATACGGATATTGACTTGCGAGAATCAATGTCTCATGTCATGTCCGAATCCGTATAGCCAATCAAGTCCGATTTTCTAGCATCATAAGACAACTTCAAACTGCTTGTGCCTCTAAGATATCTCATTATCCACTTAACTCGTATTTCAATGCTCCTTTCCTGGATTTGACAAAAATCTACTAACTACCCCAACAACATAAGCAATATTAGGTCTTATACATACCATGGCATACATCAAACTCCCAACAGCTGAAGCATATAGAACTCTCTCGCATCTCCTCCTTCTCCTCATCCGTAGAAAGACTCGTTGGATGTTTAGCTTAAAGTAGGACAACATACTTATTTTTTTCATTTTATATACCAAAAAACAACCATGTTTTTACTAGATCATATTATTATTATTATTATTATTTTGGGTTTTTGGTTGGAAAATTTTCCATTCTTTTAGTAATTTGTTTTCTTATTCCCTTTCTTATGAATTTAAAATATTTTATTTTATTTTTACCAATAGTTGTTATTGAAATAACAATCTTGAAATTTCAAGATGGTTGTCTTATTATATAAAATAATACAAATAAAATTCCTAAAATTTCTTAATTCTCTAAATAGAAAATTATCATACAAATTTCAAACTAAGACATTAACAAAAATTTTTAAACGATTAAATTAAAAATTAGAACATTAACTAGAATTTTTCCCCAAACTCTAGATATTTACTAGTTATATATATATATATATATCAAGAATTAGGTTATTTGTCCCACTCTGGAGAAATTTTACTAATCTACCCAATACATTTAACTGATAATCAGCTTTGCGTAAAGAAAAAATGTAAAATCTGATTTTAAATCTAAACAAAGGAAAACTGTTTATCGAGGGAAAAAAATAGGTCAACTGAAACGACAACGTTTGCATGCCAAAGTCCACCTCGCTAAAACCCCATCGTTCATCATTAAAACCCTAGCTTTCACTTCACTTTGTCTGTCTCGTCCATTCGTCTGACTGAAGAGGAAGAAGAAGAAGAAGAAGAAGAAGAAGAAGACATGGACGGTGATGTGGAAGAGAGGCGAGTTCAAGCTCGATTTATAACAAAATTGAAGCCACCCTATAAAGTCCCAAATACTTCAATTGCTATCCCTGCTAATCTCACCCGTTTTGGTCTCTCTACTATAATCAATTCCCTCCTCAAATCCGGTAATTTTGACCTAACTTGTAATTAACCCATTTAATTTTGTTTTTTTCTTTTGCTAATTTTGCTGTGATTATGGGCAGGAGATGATGAATGGGAATCGCAGCCGTTTGATTTTCTAATTGATGGAGAACTGGTTCGGTTGCCACTTGAACATTTTCTGCTTGCCAAGGGCATTTCGGCGGTAATATATGAAACTTTCTACCTAAGTGCTGCCGAGGAATTGCCTTTTTATTTTTATTTTTATGTTCTTGTTCTAATAGCTTACTAGAAATGGTTGTGTCCAATTGCAGGAGAAGGTATTGGAAATCGAATACATAAAGGCGGTAGCCCCGCAGAAAGAGGATGCGCCTTCTTTACACGATGATTGGGTCAGCGCTGTGGATGGTTCTTGTCCTCGGTAAGCATTGATTTCTATTCAAGGCAATTTGTAGTTCAAAACACTGAAACAAGACTGGTTGATGCAATCACGCAACACATGTGATTGTATTTGTAATTAGAGCTGACAATGTATTGCAATGGTCACCTTCGATATCACATCATGAAGCTTTTCTCTCATAAATGTTGATGTAACTTTCCATGCATTGGAGGAAGCTGCTCTAATTTGTGGTTTTTGGCAGGTTCATTTTGACAGGCTGCTACGATAGTTTTGGAAGGTGAATATAGATATAGGAGCCTTTATTTATTCCTTTTGTACCTAATAAACTCTCTATGTTTTCATATTAGCACCCTGATTATTGTATAATTGTACCCATATTTTTAGGGTGTGGAAAACTGCTGGAGAATGTACTCATATACTAGAGGGACACAGTGATGCAATTACTTCTGTCAGTATTGTTAACTCAGAAGGTAGAAAAGAGGCATTATCTGCCCTTTCTGTTTGAAACTTGGAAGTTCAAACATTATATGTCTAAATCTAAATGCATCTTAGTTGTTTTTCTGTCTAAAATTAGGGTTTTTTTAATGAACATTCCTTGCAGACTATTTAATGTTAACTGATCATCCATGATCTTACTATTTGCATGATTTAGTTTTGAAGTTCGAACGAATGGCATTCAGATAATCTGTCTTTCTAATAAGAAAGTCTGCCTAAAGGCAGTTATCTTTTATATACAAAAAAAAATAATAATGTATGATTGTTTTTAAAAGCAGTATACTGTCCAAGGCTGCTTCAGCCTAAAGGTATAATTGCAAGATGTTTTACTGGAATTATGACCAATCTGGCTTGAATCATCTGGATATTCTTTATGTTTGAAGGATGTATATATCAGTGATGACATAAATACAATTTGTCTTCTTGGTTTCTGGAATTTTGTATGCTTTATAGTCTACTCTTTCTCTGTGTCCGCTGAGACATGTTACTTTATTTCTTCTTTTTTATTGCTAACTCTTCAATATGCCATTGACTACCTTTGTGGCGATAATATGCAGGTGCTGATAGTGTTACTGTGGCCACTGCCTCGAAAGATCAAACTCTGAGGCTGTGGAAGGTAATTTGACAAAATTTATGATTAATAAAATTAAATTTTTTTCCTGCCTAATTGTGTTGCTTTTTCCTAAAAGTTTTATGCAGAGGAACATTTAGACCAGCCTGCAAAGACTAGTGCCTTCAAAATTTTATGTGGGCATAATGCATCTGTGCAAAGTGTTGCAGCACAGGCTTCTGGAAGCATGGTCTTTTCTATGTCCTTTTTCCTTGTTTACTAGTAAGGTTGTGGATTTCACTTCAAAAAATAACCTCGTTTCTGCTCTGTTTTTTGTTAATCTCTAATGTAGATCTGTTCGGGTTCCTGGGATTGTACAATCAATTTATGGCGGACAAATGTGTCTGACACAGAAGGTGATATAGTGTCAATTAAGAAGAGAAAAGTGAAAAAAAGGCTGAGGAATCTCAGTTGGAGGTATTGCATGTTGTCTACTCGTATCTCTGCATGATTATGGTTGTCTCACTTTGTTTTAAAAGTTTTTGAGAGCTAAAAAAATTGCAGAGATCATTAAGAATTTGACCTGAGTAGGTGGAGTCTGAAAGGAGGCAACGATAGCTTTATTTATTTTTGTTTTGTCTTTTGTCTTTTTTGGATATGCATATGTTAACTAAGGCATCAGACAGGCTAGCTCTCTGTTCTATTTTTGCTCTCGCACACCTTTTCTTTTATGAACTCTTGCATACACTTTTATCTTCATTTATTGGAATTTGTTTCATTAAATAAAAAAAAAAAAGAAAGAAAGAAAGAAAGAAAATGAAGGCACCAGGTGGGGTCCAAATTTACAAGAAGATGAGAGCAGACCACAAAAACTCCCTCTTCATTTGCTGCACATAAAATAAATGATTAACAAAGTCAGAAAATCCAATTAACTGGAAAAAGAGTGCTCCTTTGTGATTATATGTCTTTTTCTTGTTATGTTATGTGCCATGTATGTTGCCTAAGAATTGATGTTTTTTCTTGACTATAAATTTCTAAATTCTAAACTAAATTTCTTTCTTATATCAATTATGTGTTGATCTCCATTGCATTCAGGGGGAGGCTTTGTCTACACTTGTGGGCCATACTCAATGTGTATCCTCAGTCTACTGGCCAGAACACAGTACAATCTATTCTGCGTCCTGGGATCATTCTGTTAGAAGATGGGATGTTGAGACGGGCAAAGATTTGTCTAACATAGTATGTGATAGTCCTACATTTAGCTCTGTCTCCCCTTTTCTCTCTCACGTGCTTGTTGAATGCAGATTTATGAGATATATTGAAGTTTAGTTGATTAATTGTTCTACTTTTACAGTTCTGCGGAAAAGCCCTTAACTGCCTTCATGTTGGTGGTGAAGGTTCTGCTCTCATTGCTGCTGGTGGTTCTGACCCAATCCTTAGGGTATGGGATCCACGAAAACCAGGTATGTTAAATGAGATAAGTACTCCCTCCCCATCCCAACCCCTATGTCTGTCATATTTACGTCTTACTATTCTTGTAGGAACTTCTGCTCCTGTTTATCAGTTCTCTTCACATGATTCTTGGATTTCGGCATGCAAGTGGCACCCTAAATCATTGTTTCATCTACTTTCTGCTTCTTATGATGGGAAAATCATGTTGTGGGATCTAAGAACTGCGGTATTGTACTCTTCACTTCCACAATTTATGATCAACCTTTTGTGAAACCTGAAAATTATAAAGAAGAATGATTTATATGTACCGATCAACATCGTCATGTAATTATCATGTTTTAATAACATAAATCTGTCAACCATATGAAGTGTTAAATAGTGTATTTTTCTGCTGCAGTGGCCTCTGGCTATTATTGATTCACACGAGGACAAGGTAATGCCATCTATTTAATTTATTTATGTTTTCCTCATTGAAACAGATTAAAAAAATTTCATTTATATTTGGTGATATGCTGCAATTCAGGTGTTATGTGCTGACTGGTGGAAAGGCGATAGTGTGATCAGTGGTGGGGTAGACTCGAAGCTCTGCATTTCCTCTGGAATTTCTGTGCAATGAGGTAAGAGTTGTAAATTATCATTTATTTGTTTATCATCAAATTATGAACTGTAGTCTAAATTTCTACCCTGCCTCCCAACCCATCTGTAGATGCTGCTCTCTCTCTCTCTCTCTCTCTCTCTCTCTCTCTCTGCATTGTCTGCAATCAGTGTGTGAGAATTAGTTCATTTCTATTGTCCTCAACTGCTGTGCGGCAATTTGTCTATGCGAGTGACTGGATGTGGTTAAGCCACTACAAGCTTGAGAATGTTTCTTATCTTAAAGGATAGAGTTATGGTATATTAACTCTTCTTTTTGGGTATGCTTGTTAGAAACCAATCATGTCTTTGACAGAGGTCAGTGAGTCTTTGGCTCAATAGCATGATGCATATCCCTTCCCTCATAAGAGGTTTTGAGTTTGAACCTCTTCTTTTTAACCCATCTTATGCAGGTTTAATCCAAAGCGATGAAGTTCTATTGTTTACTTATCCATCTTCCTATCAGTCCATGTTGGCTGTTATATCTATGATCTCGCTTATCTGTCAGCTCATAAATAACAAGAACTAATTAGATTAACTGATTGTATTCTGGGAATATGCAAAATTTTGTATCTTTTGAAACTTCATCTGCAGAATTGGATGATTGAAAAATCATCATCATATATGGGAATGGTTCATGCCTTGTCAGTTTAATCATCATTTGTGCCACTATTTTCAGCTGAGGAGAGTTATGATTGGTGTTCTAATGAGAATCGAAGCAACTTCATAAGAGGATGAATTATTCTATGACAAACATCTTCATCTTCGCTCTATGTTAAAATCCTCGAGGTGGCAGCATGTTGATGATGAGGCAATACGATTCTTTCTCAATTGAAGGAGCTGATTGGAGTTTCATTTCGGCTTAAAGTCTATTTTGTTCAAGGACCTGTGGCGAGTGTGCATAGTCGGAGTCATATTGTCATTGACAACGGCTTGCTGTTGTAATTTTATTAGATTTTGTTCAGTAGATACTTGAGTAGGATAAAGGTTTTGTTGTTGACTGGAACAAAGAAAGATAGATTTTGGTTCCTCCCAAAAAAATTTGTAGCGCCTGCAGGAAGGATTTTGAAGTTCAAGTTCAAAATTGGATACATGTGATGCTGCTAGACTTTCGAAAGAAATTGCTTCTGCTTTAATTATGGCTGATGATTAGTTTAAAATGTCTCTGGACTTTTTACAGGCAATTATCATCACTTTTATGTGGATCTGGTTAATCAGAACCAAACCAAATACATGGTGTAGATTCATTGTACTTGCTAACTATTAAATTAGGGGATGGCCATCTGCTAAGCGTACAAACTATTTTGATTCATATGAATTGGCTTATATTTAAAATGTTCCTTTGCAAGAAATCTGCAGGAAACAGTAAATCCGTGCTTATTCCTTGGCATTCAACGATGCCAGTGAAGCTGGAACTATGCATTTTTGGATCTAGAAATTCTCTACCGTTATTTTTTTCTAGGGTTGCGTTTACCAAAATTCTCAGGGAAAGAGGATTATACGAACGAGCTTCCTTGAGGGCTTTTCTTTTTGGCATTAGATGCCAGATGGGTGCAAAAAGATTACATCCTACCATGTTTCTTTGAACTTTTCGAGCATTCAAGAGCTACCTGCTTACATGACATAAATGCATGTTTTTTTTTTTTGCTTTCTTTTTGTAGGGAAAAGGATGATTTGTAAAGTTCTTTCGCTTTTACTAGTAGGCCAACGGGATCCCCTGCGACACAGACTTATAATTTTTTTTATTTATCATAACTACATATTTACCCTCACTCGTTTTCTTCCAAAATAAACCTACCTGGTTCTGGTTTCCTAGGAAGCGAAAGAAAAAGAAGAATTTATATATATATATATATATATATAGAGAGAGAGAGAGAGAGAGAGAGAGAGAGAGAGAGAGAGAGAACTATATATCATATTAATTTGCTTAAGAAAATTTCATAATTACACTGATTATAATTGTTATCTAGATATACCATAAGATTTTATGAAATGAAATATGAAATCACTTTAAAATTGAAACTTGAAGATATTATGGCAATTTTTTTTTTTAAAAAAAAAGAAAGAAAAGAAAAATATTATTGCAACTTATCTAAATATTATAAATTTGAAAATAATTACTTTATTTATTCTTACATTCGATCATCTTTATAATGTAAGTGTGGGTGAACCTCTCTCTATATTTTTTTTCTAACAAAAATTCAATGAATTTTATTTATTTTATTATTTTTATTCAAGGAACTAGGAAAAAAAAAATCTTGATCGTCTAACTTGAAATGGATGGATCTAAACTAAATACATTCATGAAAATGGAGTAAATATAAATTCAAAGTTTATTATTATTATTTTAAAAAATCATAATATGCTAATTGAAGCTCTTACCCTCTCTCAAGAGAGTTGGGTCCTCTAATGGACGAAGAGGGAAAATATCCAAAAATAATGAGAATTTTATTTTATTTTTTAATGTGCAAATATATAGTACGGACATATGTGTCTTGACAAAAAAAAAAAAAAAAAAAAAAAAAAAAAAAGAAAAGGGACAACCAGAAAAGAAAACTTTCCAAGTGGGATTTGAGCAAATCCCAAAGCTATTTCTCGCAATAGAAAGCTACAAAAAAGAATAGTACTTGGAAAACAAAAAAATGCATCCCTCTCCGCGCCATTACTTCTCCACCTCCTCCTCCTCTTCTATCTTTGCTTCTCTCAGATTCACTCTACCATTATTATTATTATTATGAAAATTTCAATTTTGTACACTTAGCTTCATTCAGGTCAGCAACATTTTCCATTTTTTACGCTTCTTATTTCCAACTTTTAATCATTTATTATCATTTCCTATCTGATCCAACGAATCAAATTTCGGTATTCTAGTATTTCTTGATTTGGAATGAATTCATGTTTCAATAAACCGGCAACCTTAACTTGTCTTGTTTACAGGAAGAAGAATGGGAACCGTTTTATTGCCAAATGCTACTTTGGGGATCGTCCTACAAAAGAAAAGCCATCATAACAACATTAATGTTGTTTCAAATTTGTGTCTTGTGCACCACCATCCTCTTATAGTTTGTCCTAAGCGAACAAGAAAAAGGTTTTTAACCATATTTTCTTCTCTTGTTTGATGGTCTGTTGTTGAAGTTTGAGATACCCCATCTTTCAATGGTTTTTACATTGGATTTCTTGCAGGAGACTGTTGAATAGTGGCAACTGGAATTGGAAGTCAAGAACCTCTGCGTTCTCAAATGTGGTAAACATGCATGCCTGTATGCATCAATCTGTTGTATATGTTGTTGCTGTTTTGATGTGTAAACAAGTTAGTATTTGCTTTATGTAGAGAGTAATTTGGAAATTAGATCATGGGTTTGTGTATTTTTCGGAGAGAATTTAAGGGGGAAATAGGAGTTATCAATGAATATGTAGTTAGAGTTAATAGGCTCATTTGCTGAAGAAAATGTGAGAAAATTGGTATGTGTAGGTTTTTTTTTTTTTTTTTCGTGTGAAGTACGTAGATTTTGCTTTTATATGATTGAAACGTTTGATTTGAAAGTGGAGATGGTATGTTCCGAGTGATAGAAAAGAGACTCATGGTGGTTGTTTGCTATATCTCCGTGGCAGGATGATTCCATTAATAGCTCTGCTGATATGGTTGTTGATGATGATGATTTTACATCACGAGGAACTGAAGTGTTGGCAGTAGAAGAAGATGAATTAATTGCAACTAAGAAAGCTCTCTCCGAGACTCGATCCAGACAGGAAGCTATTGAAAAAGAAAGAGATCAGTTGCTTGAAGAGTTGGCTCAGTCTCAGGCTAAACAACAGGAGTATGTGGCTACCATATTGCATGACAAAGAAGTAGCTATTGCAGAACTCGAGGCTGCCAAGTCGCTCTTCCATCATAAACTGCAGGAGTCGGTGGAAGAAAAGTTCAGCTTGGAATCTAGGCTGGTTTTAGCAAAACAAGATGCCGTTGAACTTGCTGTACAAGTTGAAAAGTTAGCAGAGATAGCTTTCCAGCAGGCAACATCTCATATACTCGAAGATGCCCAGCGGAGAGTGTCAGCTGCTGAAACTTCTGCTGCTGAAGCTGCTTTTCATATTGAAGAACAGGTTCGAAGTGCAACTGAAGGTTCCATATTCTCAATTGTCGAACAGTCAAAAGATGCTATAGAGAAGGCCCTGGATGTGGCCAAAAAAGCTGGTGACTATGCTACAAGAGCTGTGGCAGTCTTTAATGATGCTGTTAATCCAGTCGATGAGATTGCATCAGTCCAATCAGAGAATATTAGGTTACAAGGAATTGTAAATGATCTGGAATCTCAACTATTGATCACAAGAAAGGAGGTTGATAAGTTGAAAGTGGACTCAGAACAGGTCCATGGACGAGCAAAAGCATCTGAACTCCGAGCTGAAGATGCTGAGAAGGCTCTGCTTGAATTTCAGGAGTCAAACAGGAAAGTTACTGTCCAGCGAGAAGAGGAAATCAACTCTTTGCTGGAGAAAATAAAGAAAGATACTGCTGAAAGAAAGAAAACTGCATCCAGGGAATTTAAGGCTGAATTGGAAAGCATCAAGGCTGCCATTGAAGCTGCCAAAGAAACAGCATGTTCGAGAGATGAGGCCTACATGAGAAGATGTGAAGCATTGCAGGGATCTTTAAGTGCATCTGAAACTACTTCAAAAATGTGGAGACACAGAGCAGAAATTGCAGAGTCAGTATTATTAAATGACGAAGAGGATGAAGATGCCATCTACATAGTTAATGGTGGGCGTATAGACCTTTTGACAGATGATGATTCACAGAAATGGAAACTGTTGAGTGATGGTCCTCGTAGAGAGGTACCTCAATGGATGGCAAGGAGGATCCAAAGTATCTGTCCCAAGTTTCCACCAAGAAAGGTTGATATATCTGAAGCCCTGACATCAAATTTCAGGCCACTGCACTTGCCCAAACCTGATGAAGTATGGTCAATTGCTCAAGAAAAGCTTAAGGTAGGGGATACAATTATTGAACATGTAATTGAGAAAGAAACAATAGAGAAGAAGCGAAAGGCTCTGGAACGTGCTCTTCAGCGGAAGACCATACAATGGCAGAGGACACCCAAGGAAACAAAATTAGGTAAGTTTGCTTTTTCCATCAATTCCTTGTTTGATATTATCTAAATAGCATAATTCGGCAACAAGGTCTGCATCTGACATATTGACAGCAATGCCTCAAATGCAGAGCCAGGAACTGGAACGGGACGGGAGATTGTGGTTAGTATACTGTCTATTGATTAGATTTGCAAATGATGAATACATTTATTCTCTTTTTCTCTCATCGGCTTGCGGTATGTAGCATAGGCTCAGGGAAAATTGAGTCCAAAGTTAACCAATTTAGTTTCATGGAAAATTATTAGCTTAGCCTGGCTCCCATGAGCCCTCTCACATGAATTATTTGGACCCACCAAATTGCGATTGTGGAGAATACACCACTTGGTGAATGTGGCTATTGGGGAGCTGTTTCTCTGTCAGGTATCAGGTTGAGGTGCCTTGTCTACTCAGAACACAACTGCTGTCTATATGTCCACTTCATGAAAGATTAGAGCTCTACAACCTTCTTGACCTGTTGTAATTTGTACCAGTAGTTCGAGCCTTGCTGTTCCAAAAATATAAGCTGTTTGCATCTTGCAAAAAGGTTATGAACTTAAAGCATGCAGAGCCCACTTAATGGCTAAAACTTATGTTTCTTAAAGCATTTGGTGCAGGTTTCATCCCCACTTAAATCTTGTTGCTGATATTGCAGTAAGGCATCTTTTTCCATTTCAACCACTATGTCCACTGGATTGTCAGGATTTCTTCTATCCTTTTATTCGCATTTATATAGATTTTCCTTTTTAATACTGTTAACAATACGACATTATGCTTGTTTGCACGAGAAGGAAAACAAAGCATTCTCTTTAACCTGATATGAATAAATTGATAATTGGTTAAGAATAGACGGAGTTATTGAGAAATGGGTAAAAAGAAGTGCGAGCTGGATGCTACATGTGAAAGAGATGAGGTTAACCATGGTCAATAGATCATCATTTTGATTCTTTGTTTCTAGCTAGAGGATGGTCATTTTTCTCTTTTTAGCATCTTTTTGTGTTCATTGGTTATCCTACATGAGACATAAAACTGGTGGCAAGCTGAGATTTGATACTAGAGGTGTCATTTTCAGGTTAGGGATTTTGAGGGTCTCTTTGTCTTGGATTTTTTAAAAACCCTATTTCTAGCTTTTCATCTGAAGTTCATTTGAGGTTTTTTGAATTCGAGGATTGTTTTGTTTAATTTCTTACTGCTTCCTATATGCCTGGTGCATCCAGGTTTGTAAACACTTTTTTCCTTGGTGATCCTTAATTTACCAATTTTGAAGTTTCAAGGTTTCAATTGGGAAAGCTGGAGAAGGCAGTGGTACCTGGAGTTAGCCGCTAAAGCTGCTGATTTATCTCAATGTGGAGTAACAGCAGTGTGGCTCCCACCACCAACAGAATCTGTAGCTCCTCAAGGTTTATATTGTTGCTTTCTGTCATCGTCTTGTTATGAACATACTGACACTTTTACTGTAAAAATGAGGCAGTCGTGAAAATGGTTTTTTTTTTTTTTTTTTCATTTCATATTAGATCACTATATGGCATTTGCATACTGTATATGTCATAAAAAGTGCTTTGTGCTCTTCAGAAATGGGCATTTTTGTGCCTAGGAATTAGGACATAGTGTTGGAGTCCTAAGCAATGCCAGCTCTGTGTTAAGTTTTTGGTTCATTGTGCTTTGCTTTATAGACTTGCATTCTGTAATTGTTCATTAACGTGCAGGTTATATGCCTTCTGATCTCTACAACTTGAACTCAGCATATGGTTCTGTGGAAGAACTGAAACACTGCATAGAGGAAATGCATTCTCAAGATCTTCTGGTATGTTTTGGTTTTTTGTCTTACAGGATAATCAATGGACCTTTATGGAGCAAATTTTAACTTCTTTTGTCTCATCTCAAGCTCTGTTGTAATTTGCATGGTAATGAGTTATGAATTACATGAAATGCCTTGTTATGTACCTGAATCAGAAACAAAATTTATTTTTTGAAAAAAAATTGTCACTAAGCAAAGCAACAATTGCATGGAAATTCATTTGGTGGGACTAGCTGCATGAAGTGATTATATGTTGAAGAATTTATGATGGGACCTCTATTTCCCTGGACTATGGAAAACATAATGCTTTCTGTTAAGGGGGAAAACAACCTAAAAGGTTGCTATTGTGGAGTAATTCCTAAAAAGGGAAAAATAATTGAACTTTAGATGCCTGCTTTTATTACATTCCGTGTGGTTGGTTGGCTACACAGATTAAACTTAATTCTTCTGTGTTCTGCCAGTGTTAAATTCTCTTGCATGTCTTCTGCAATAACTCTGCGTGTTCTTTGAGATGAGTAGCATTTTATTCACTTCACTCAGAATAAATATCGTTGTTGCTCTCTGTTCTTTGATGCTGCTAAATTTGTTCCTAAAAAGTGCTTATTACTTACTGTAGAAATCTGTGTTGTTTTTTTTTGCCCAAGATTAAGTGTTATCTGCATACCGTATATAAAGCTTGATGATATGCAATATTAATTTCCTTGCTATGTTTGTTTGGCTGGTGTTCATACCTTGGTTACGATATTGATTGGATTGATATTATAGGCCTTGGGAGATGTTGTACTAAATCATCGATGTGCACAAAAACAGGTAAACCTTGTTATTGGCTTAAGTATTTTTCCTTGTTTTTGTTTTTGATGTCAATATTGGTCTTTCGATTTTCAAGCTTCATCTATGTTGTCATGAGAATCAACAACATTTTAAGCACTTGTTTTCCCCCTTTTGGCACAACAATTTTTATCATTTCTTGTTGTTTGCTACTAGAATCAGGAATAGTTTCCTTCACAACTTGGGCAAGCTTAGTGTTAATATAGTTATCCAAACTTAACTGATTTTGTGTCTCTTTTGATTTTACTGACCTAATAGAGTGGCTTGGAATAGGCTACCTTCGTTCTTCTGTTTTCCTATTTTTTGATAAAAGAAGAAAGTTTTGTTAAGAAACAATGTATAATAAAGTACAAAAGGAATAAGCATCCTCCAATTGATTGCAAAAAATGTCTCTGTAAAGGGCTCTCCATTCTCCTTGAATATTGGGTGAAGCAATTGTAAAGAAAGCTCTTAGAGCTGAACACCTTGAAGAAGCCATATAAGCCACCCTATGCCAATGTACTTGAATGTATTACTTTATTTGTTGAACATCAGTGTATTTCTTTCCATCCAAATATACCAAATCAAGCATGGAACATCTCGAAAGAGTTTTACCATCTCTCTTCCTCTTGGAACCTGAAACCCATAAAAAACCTGCAAAGTATTTCGGCAAACTCACTGCTCATCCTTTGTCCTTTATATTATTGATTTTTCTGCAACTTAAGGCCTAGTCAGGAAATGAGCGATGTTTTCCATGCCTAGTTTATGGCCTTTATGCCAAAACTTCACTACCTGAAAACAATAACATAAGTATATAAATCTTTGAAGCATCTCATTATGTTGATACTCTTCCTTGGCAAAATTTTCTTCATTGAATAGAAGACCCATCTGCTCTGTGCCAGCCCGCCTGGTTTGTTAGATATATGGAGTCCAGGGTTTAGAAACTTCTTTTAAGTTACACTTCCAGTAACATGGTGCCACCTATTGATAAATTGATTTTCTCTGTATTTAGAGTCCAAATGGTGTTTGGAACATTTATGGTGGACGGCTTGCATGGGGTCCTGAAGCAATTGTGTGCGATGATCCAAATTTCCAGGGCCGTGGAAATCCTTCAAGTGGTATGGAGACTTAAAAATTCTTTTTTGATGTGATGAAAAGTACATGGTAGAATGACAACCAGTAAAGCAATTTACAACTCCTTAAGAGTCTATATTCTATACCTTTTAAAGATCATCGAATTCCACCTGTTTCCAAGCTATATTTATGTGTAAAAAATATGCAGTCCTTATCTTGGTCAGCTTTGGAGCTCTATGGTCCCAAGTGCTGCCAATAGAAGCTAATCTTTGAATTTTAGGAAATGAAAAATATAAAGAAGACAAAAATCTTGAAAAGGACACACAAAGAAAATAACTATAAAGTTGCATATAGTTAACCCACCATCAGTAGGTGTGTTCATGAAATATCAAATTTGTGGTTGCATTACTCATGAACTTTTAGTGGTACCTGCACGCATCTTGTTATTATCAGCTGTTATTCCATGTAATTATTGCTTGACATTCTTCTCTTGAAGGTGCATAATTAATCAAAATATTTTATCCCAAAGTTTAAATTTATAGATAGCATGGACTTAACTCTTTTTTTTTCCAACCTTTGTTTTTATGGAAAAAAGTACTAATGCTAGTCTTACCACTAGATGAAATGATAATTTTACTATTTGTTGAACTCCTTATAGGTGATATCTTCCATGCAGCTCCAAATGTTGATCATTCTCAGGACTTTGTGAGAAGAGACATAAAGGATTGGTTAAATTGGCTTCGAAATGATATTGGTTTTGATGGTTGGCGCCTTGACTTTGTAAGGTGAATGCCTTTTTGGTACCTATTAATCCTCCTGTTTTCAAATCTTTTTCTCTAGTAAATTATTAGGACACTGAAACTCCTTTTTGTGTTGTTTGCAGGGGCTTCTCTGGTACATATGTTAAAGAATATATTGAAACTTCAAATCCTGCATTTGCTATTGGAGAATACTGGGATAGTTTAGCTTATGAACATGGTAGCTTGTGTTACAATCAAGGTAAACTCTGGTAACTATTTAATCTGTACTTCAGGGGAACGTATGGACGAGTTCAAGGCCTTCCAAAAAGACTAAAAGTTCAATTTTACTTATTTCAGTAGACTTGCAAGCTAACTTCAATATCTAAAAGTTTTTATCGTCACTCATGTCCTTCATTATTAAAGAAATTTACTACAACATGAAATTACTTAATCAATCTTTATTCTTTGTACTATCAATAGCTCTCAATGAATATGATAAGTTCAATAGTAACAACACATAAGTGGCTCCCTAATTATTTTCTTTCTATTCTGTTTTTAGTTTCTCATAGAAGTATTCTGTAAATTAGTTCCCTTTAAATTAAATTTTGGACTGAAATTTTTTTCTAAAGTCCTTAACTAGAGACTAGAGTTAAAAACCATAGTTCTGTGTTTTTTAACTAAGTTTTATTTAGGAAAGGTCGGGAAAGATAAAGGAGTTTCGATTTAAATTGCACCCAATTCATGATGGATCAAAACTAATAGTAATATTACAGGCTTGTGTTAGAGATCTTATGAAATACTCAACTATGTTCCAGTTATAAATTTGCTCCATTCAGCTAGATTGTCATCAAAAGGTTTGAGTTGTCATATTTATCATTTTCACCGTATCAGCCCAAATCATTTTTTGCCTACTTCTCCCATCTTTTGCTAGCAATGCTAAAACTCGATTACTACTCCACATATGTTTATCCATAGATCTTCATTAAGAATGCGTAAATTGTCTCAGCCAACTCTCCTGCAATAATCCTCTGTGCCAGCTCTTATTTTGTATGAATGGTTATTAATATTCTTAACCTCTTTATGCTGCAAACACCATTGCATGTATGTGGTTTCATCTTAGCTTATAAATACCCTGTGTAATAACCCCAGCCTGCCTGTGTGCCTAGATGCTCATCGGCAGAGGATAGTCAATTGGATCAATGCCACAGGAGGTACTTCTTCTGCATTTGATGTCACCACGAAGGTACTTTCTTTACTGTGTTTAGCATTCCTTGTCTTATGTATTCTTTAAGCTTGAGAAATGGAAGGCTCGGTGGTATTTTCACAGTACCTCAGGAAAAATCTTTTGCACTGTATTATGTGTATTTCCATAAAATCATTAGCTTTTCTCATATATATTGAGTTAATATAATGAAATGGCTTTGATAGAATGTGAAAGCAGAATGAATGTGACTAAAAGGCCTGTTAGATAATTTGGTTACATGGGACAAATTCAGTTTTTGCTTAGTTTATGGGTATATCAAGATGCCCTTTAGGCATTGCATAAACTTTGAGAATATGAGGATACAACCAACAAGGTCATATTCCCCTCCTTATTCAACAATAAATTAATTGAAGGTTTTTTTTTTTTTTTTTTTTGGAGGGAATACTACATTCTGCTCTTCACAACCAATATTGGAGGCTAATAGATCCCCAAGGAAAACCAACCGGAGTGATGGGATGGTGGCCCTCACGTGCTGTCACATTTTTGGAGAATCATGACACAGGATCAACTCAGGTTCCCCCCACCTCCTCTTTCTCCTCCCCACACACACACTCTTCAGGTGTTTTTCTTTTGGATTTGAATTTGCCTAATTGGTACAGTGTTCTAATAGAATAATTTAATAGCACTTGTGAGGTTCTCACTAGTTTAAGCCTTATAAATACAATTTCCATTTATATCCTAGAAAAGAAAAGGAGAACATTTGCTTAATGATATTGTAAGTTGTACATTTGCTTCATTTGTATTTTGCATGGTATTCCTGGATGATAAAATCAGTTAACTTGCAAATATTTGGTAACTAAAGAAATTGTGCTCCAGGGGAGATGGCTGTCTTGATGTTCAGGATTTTGAAGCTATCTATCATTGGTAGTCTTGTCTCATGATAACTATCTGTATTTCATGCTTGTGAAAGCAAGCAAAGAATCTGTTGGGTGGTAGCTCAACTGAAAAGGAGTCTTATACTCTTGGGAGGTCTTGAGTTGGAGCTCTCTCCCCGCTCTCTTGGATCAAAATAAAATAAAATAAAAAATGAAGAAAGACATAGATGGATTTGGTCCTCTTAAATAAGAGGTCCATTGGCAATTTAATGCAAAAGACTGATGACATACTCATATTTGCTGTATTTTACTAAGTTTCATCACTTCAGTTGGTAGAGAACTTAATGTCATTTCAAGCTGGAGTATAAAGCAATCTGGTTTATTATTAATCCAAGTGATTTGAAGTCTTTAACCGATGTGCTTTTCAACTGTATGAAATGATGTGGTTGGGGCACCTATTCAAACACGTAATAGGTTTTGGATACCAACTTAAGAATTCAAACTGAAATAGGCAGTTAGCTGGGAGAAGCCGAGAAGCTTCTCTTCTTTAATTGTTGTAAACGAGTGCATGAAGGGAAATTTATGGTGTTAGTGGTCAAACATTTAAGGTTCTACGAGTACAAGATAAGCATTGACAGTGACAGGTAGCAGCCTGTAGGTCTCTGTTTCTTTAACAGAACACTTTTGCTGATGTCTGATTGAAAATTCTTATATTATTTGAAAGTTGGTTATTTATTCTTATTTACCTGAGTTTAATGCTTTCTGATTTGATGTTGAAACTGTGGATCATTAGCATTTCTCTGCATCTTCGACTTCGTCTAATTCAAGTCCATTTGAACTAGTACGGAAGTTCAGAGACCAGATAATGAAATTTGTGTTTTGCTTCAGGGTCATTGGCCATTTCCTCGAGATAAGCTGAAACAAGGATATGGTTACATTTTAACCCATCCAGGGACGGTGAGTTTTATATCTATGGAATTGCCAAGTTGCCATAAAGTTTTGGGCATTCTCTTTTGTGCTAGAAAAAAATTTCCCCGCTTAATATTAGCACCACAAAATTTTTGATTCCATCAAGTCTTTGGCTTTAGTCGGCACTATGTATGCATATTCAGTTTCATCTTTCCATCTGCCACTACGATAGCCTGGAGAGAAGAAGAAAAAAAAAAAAAAAATCTTGCGATGCTTGTTCAATTAAATAATCAAGGTTCTCATAGATTGTTGACGATATTCCTAACACTGTCCTTTCGTTGTGGAAAAATGGAGCTTTATTCCTAGCAAGTATCATAGAAGAATTTGGTGCTCAGATGCATTAGGTGGTTATTAAAGTAGTTGGAAAATGTGGAGTCCCAAACAAAACTCTCAAGTCATTTTTTTCCCCGGTAACTGCACCTTTAAGATCCTCTCTAGTACCAGGCAACTTGAAGTACAAGTTTTTAGTTTCTTGGGAAACCAGTTTACTTGGTCACCACCCTTTGTCCCCCTATTTCTTTGTTTGTATGATTGCTTTCAAACGTCTTTTTCTGCTCCAGTATTTTCTACAATATGCTAAAAGGTAGCCTGTCCTGTATTCTGCATCATAAGTGATGCAACCAGAAGTTAGGTTATTGTTGTTTCAACTATGCTTTCATTTTTCTACTTGCTGAACTCTGCCCCCCACCTCCACCCAACCATTAAAGGTTAAAAAAGATTACCATCATGTACTTTCAGTTGTCTAACATGTACTGTTCCCCTTTCATTTTTTCAGCCCACAATATTTTATGATCATTTCTATGATTTTGGCATCCGCGACGTCATCACTGAGCTGATTGAGGCTCGAAGACGGGCTGGGATCCATTGTCGGAGCTCTGTCAAGATATACCATGCAAACAATGAGGGTTATGTTGCACAGATAGGTGATACACTGGTGATGAAGCTTGGACATTTTGATTGGAATCCCTCGAAGGAAAATAATCTGGAAGGACGTTGGCAAAAATTTGTGGACAGAGGATCAGATTATCAATTGTGGTTGAGACAATAGTTCCGATCCAATAAGGGAAATAAGAATTTCCATATCCTTATACCTTGTATCATTGCTGAAAACATCAATCAATAATTGTCAGGTTTGCAAGAGGAACATTTGCAATATGACTATATATATATATATACACACACACACGCACAAAAAGGTTCTGCCCTCACCCCCATATTGAGAGATATTTTACGTGGCTATGATAGACCGATTGACAATCTCGATGAGCCTCATTACTCGTACGTAAAACAATAAGAGGTCAGAATTACATAATTCTTTTGTTGAACCGGATGTCTGTATTGTTCGTCTTGCTTGGCTCTAGTAACCCTATCTTTTTTATTTTTCTGTATTATTCAACCGGGTTGGTGTTGGTGTTGAGATTGTTTACATTCCTTTGTCGTTGAACATTCTATCATGGCAGTTAGTTGTAACGAATTGGCCGTGTCCAAGTCATGTCTCAGGAAGCTTAAATTTCTCCTTCGAAGCATCTGCTTTAATCTCGTCCTGCTCGAATGTCGCGAATCAAAGCCGAAGTATGTTGTGTCTTCTCACGCGCATCAAGTTGGGGTCCCACAGATTTTCCTTCGAACGCCAAGAATATCCAAACGTTCTTCGAAAGAATGTAAAAGATATCCTGTGATTCGACTGAAAAGGGACCCAAGTCCACCAACCTCCCCGTTTGGGCCATTTATTAAGTTCGTTTCAAATGACAGTCATGCTGAATTGGTTATCTTGCCTAAACCGATAATATTTAGTTAATAACCACAGATTTTTCTCCAAAAAGAAAAAATGATTATATCAATCAACAAAAATTTTCAAATGCATAAATGTCCTTATACCATATTTCTAATTTTTTGAATATTTTTTCCAATAAGTTCTTATATCTACTTTGACACACGACTGCAAACTATATTATAGATTTAGTTTTTATTTTTTTGAAAAAGAAAAAGAAAAAAAATCCACAAAAGCAAACTACTACGTGTCATTATTTTATTTTCATCACACAAGCTATTTTTTGTTATTATTTTATTTTATTTTTATCACACAAACTATATTTTATATTTTCATGTTATTTTTTAGAGTCACTGTAATACTGTGTTCCAATTAATTAATTATCATTCTCTCTTCATGTATATATATATGTGGTAATTAATTTTGATGCGGTGTCAATGTGTGACACGGCAAGGCAATACGATATATAATTTTTTTCCTTTGCCTTTTCTGCTTGCCGACTTTCCAATCCCTTATCAAACACGGTTCCTCATTCTTTTCTTAACGGCCAAGCTAGTTCCTCTATAAATATAGAGCCACCGAAACACCCTAAAATCTCATGCACCCAAGAAGACAAACGAAGTCAAGAAAACCATGGCTAGAAATAGAGAGATTGATGACTACAGGGGTTATTGTCAAGAATGCAAGTCATACACTTCAACTGTTCTTGATCACGGATCTGGGGACACAATCTGCAGCGACTGTGGATTAGTTCTCGAATCCCACTATATTGATGAAATTACCGAATGGCGAACCTTCGCCGATGATAACAACGATACAGATCCTAATCGTGTTGGTGAAGCAGCAAACCCTCTTTTAAGCCAAGGCAATCTAACAACTTTAATATCCAAGCCTATGGGGACTAAGGGTGATCTTGTAATTTCAAAATGGCAGACTCGTGTATCAAACCCTGATAGGGTTGTCATCCAAGGTTTTCAAACGATTGAAGTAATGGCAAATAGATTAAGTCTTGTGCTTTTGATCAAGGATAGGGCTAAAGAGATATACAAGAAGATAGGAGAGCAGAAATCTTGTATTATAAGGAACCAAAAAGCAATGTCTGCAGCATGTTTGTTCATTGCCAGCAGAGAGAATAAGTTGCCAAGGACATTGAATGAAGTAGCGAGTGCTGCTTATGGGGTAACCAAGAAGGAGATTAACAAAGCTGTGCAGATTATAAAGAGGCATGTAGAGTTGGAGGATATGGGGACAATAAATCCTAGTGAACTTGTGAGGAGGTTTTGTTCAAATCTTGGAATGAAAAATCATGCTGTCAAGGCTGTGCATGAAGCTGTTGACAAAATTCAAGATATTGATGTAAGGAGGAACCCTAAGTCTGTATTGGCTGCAATTATTTACATAATCACTCAGCTTTCAGATGAGAAGAAGCCTCTTCGAGGTCTGAGTTCTCCTTAGTTTATTATAATACCTATGAATTAATCCTTGTCTACCATTTCCTGACCATAAAGTTAACTCCTTAAAGAAAAAAGAAAAAAAATCACGCGATATCATTAAGTTATTAAACATAAAATTTGCCTGCTTTGTATGGATAACCTGTTTTAATTTGGTTATGCACCCAAAACTCTGTTTTTATTTTATTGGATTATGTATCTTTGGTAAATTTGACAAATTTCTTTTGTTATCATAATATAAGGATTTTTTTTTCATTTTTTTGGGGTGAATTTTGATTTTTTTTTAATGATTGTATAGTTTGATCAACGATCCCTCAATTTTTAATGATTGTCCTGCTTCCTCCTAGTTTAATTATTTATATACACAGCATTTGACAATAGTAGCATATATGGATGATGAATTGCGAGATATCTCATTGGCAGTGATGTCGCGAAGGGACAATCAAGAAGTCCTATAAAGACGTACATCCTCATATCTCCGAGGCTAGTACCGAGCTGGTTTGCCGGGGAGAAGGATATCAAGAATCTCTCGCATCCCTTGAAATTGTGCTCGCCAACCAAACGATCAAGCAATGCTATCCGCAACTAACCTAGTGTTAGTATTAGTGTCCAAGATCCAATCATATTTGAATGAGCTCAAGTTAATGTATTATTGCATCGTTTAATAAAGAAGTCATTCTATTAACTCTTATGTTTACATGTTGATAAATTTATTAGAGTTAGATAGAAGTCCTTATGATATGCATTTGCAATAATGATTGATCGAAAGATGTGAGACAAACACTAATGCATATAAATGATATCATTAAATGTCCTAAGTCGTAGCATTGTTGAGAATGAACATTAAAAATATGCGGATAGATATGCTCATGCTATGCTCATGCTATATGATAGCACTAGGAGATCTCACACCTATTGGCATAGTAATACCAAAGCAAGCACTTAGGTGATTTATGTTAGAGAACACATCACTCGGACTTGACTCGCCATGAGAACTCATTTGGTTTTAGTTTTTAGAAATCTCATACGAGTTGGATACAAACGAGTCCTTAAACTTGAAGTCATCATGATTATCTCATTGGAGGACTTATGCACTTTGACACTCGTTTCAATAGACCCATTAATGGGTTTCACGTGGGCGATTCGTTGGGCGCACTAGGAATCCAATGAAGATAGGTGTATGACTAAGATAGGACATGTCATTCCTTGTATGCTAAAGGAGTTATCACATTGTACTTCGATAAATGTATGCTAAAGAAATCTGTGACCACGGTAGAAGTACACTAATAAAGCATAGTTGGTTTACTCTAAGAGGTTAGACATTTGAGAATCGAAGAAAACTTGTATGATCATAATCGAACAAGACTAATAACCAAGTTTGAGATCACACCTGTGATAAGTTGACATGAGGACTCGAATTGTATGGTAACCATGCTCGTGAAAGGTAATAATGGATTAACTAATCCTCTTAGAGAATTGAATGGTTATGATGCCTTGCTAGAGATCAATTTTTATTTATATATCAAGAGATAAAAGAAGAGTCTTTTATTCTTGATACATTGTCAATATAGTTAAGAGCCTATTGAGTCACACACATAAGTTTAAGTATTCACATTACAAACGAGAAGCAAAAAATTAGAAAAATTTTCAATTATAAAAGTTTCTTATTTTGGAAAGAGTTTCCAAAACGAAAAGTTTCCAAAAATAAAAACTTTCCGAAAATGAAAAGTTTTCTATTTTAGAAATCGATTTCCTAATTTGAAAAGTTTCAAATTTGGAAATAAAGAACCTAAAAGGAAAGGATTTTTCTAATTTAGGTTAAAGGGTATTTTGAAGAATTATTTCCTAATGTGGATCCCATCAAAATAATCTAAGAATATTTATTTAGACAGTCCAAATCAATTAATTGGGCTAAAATAGTTTTGGCTCATTAGATTTAATTAAAAGGCTTAAAGATAATTTTGGTAGGAGGATAAACATCAACCTTATTAGATAAAGATGAATATTTTAAAGATAAATATTAACCTTATTAGATAAGGTTGAATAGTTTAAAAGATAATAATCAAGTAGTCCACATATAAAACAACTAGTCCTTGGAGGATAAGGAAGTAACAACTTAGAGTCTTTTATGGACTCAAAGCCATCACTCTCCTTGTCCTTGGAGGACAAGGAAACTCTCTCCCTATCTATAGGAAGGAAGGGGTGGATGACCTAATAGAGTATTTCGGCCAACAAAAAGAAAATGGGAGAATTTAGGCCAAAAGAAAAAGAAGAAGGAGAAATTTCGGCTAGCCTAAAAAATTAAGTTAGGGCACACGGCTAAGAGAGAAAATAAAAGAGAAAATAGTTTTCTCCTAAACCTTAGCAAAAAATACTTTCCTTGTTTAAGGTTGTTGCAAAGTTGCTCGAGATTGATTTCTAGAGAAAATACTTAATTAGAAAAAAATGGAGCTAGCACCTTATTAATTTTGAAAGCTTCTTAGTGGATACTTAGGTCTGCGTGGATCATTAATAAAGGTTGGACACTTGAACGGGTAATCAAAGAAGAGGAATTTAGATCCGCACTACAAGAGGTAATCCTTTATTTTAACTTATTATTTATGTATCCATGATTAGTAAATTCAACGGCATGATCTTGAGGCCTTCGATGAAGAAATTTTTTTATTTATTTTACACCTCCATAGGATACATGATCCTTCACCCAATACCTAAAGATTGTAAAGATGTATTTACGACTCTATTTGAGCACTTGTTTTCTCGTTTTCTAATTCTATTGCACCCCATTTTTTTAATGTTTCTATTGGCAACAGACTCTATTTAAAATATATTGAAATCTAAATAAAAAAATAACCTAACCTTATGATTTTGGTTATCAAAATTTTATGCTTAATTAATTATTTCTTTTTTTAATAAAAAAATGATTTTTACTATAACTAATCGTTTCCAAAAAAAAAAAAAAAAAAAATTATAAAAAATCATCTAATTGTCTTTAAAAAATTTATTGTCCAATAATGATCGAATTTCTTATACATATATTTCGTCAGGGATGATTGGACATATCAACTTTCGACATTGGGGTCATTACCAAATTTTTCTACACGCCTTCCTCTCTTTCTCACTTCTTTAAAAAAATTTCTCTCTTCGTCACGTCTTTAAAAAAACATGGGAGGCCAACGCCACACATTATATAGACCAAACAAAAGCATTAAATGCTCTTCCAAATAAGGAAATATAATGACAAAAACGAAAAAGAGAAGAAACTAAAAAAAAAAAAAAAGAGAGAGAAAATGAAAGAAGGGTCAAACTGTAAGAGCACAAAAACACTTAATGGTGAGATAGTAATTAATCAAAAAAGATAAGGGTGATAAATGAAAAGAAAAAATAACTAACAGAGACCAAGACAATTGAATGAAAAAACGAATTAAAAAAAAAAAAGAGTTAAAAAACATTGCCAATTCTAACAATGTAGCATAACACATGTCAGATGCAAGAGAAAAGGAACGACTTAGATACAGAAAAGAGAAAAAATAATACTCTTAAGTCATAGTCTACAATTAATTGAGTCTATATGAATAGGTTACCAACAATTATACCATTATCTATTTTAATTTCTTTTGTAATTTTAGTTCTTTGCACACTAGCCCAAAATCAAAGTGTAACCATTCTTTCAAGTAATCGAATTAATGAAGTTGGAGATTGGACTTATACGGGTGTCATCGCTACAATTTTTTTTTTTTTTGTCTCTTCTAAAAAAAGAAATCACAAAAAAAAAAAAAACCTCCTAAAGTTAACATAGGTACACATTATAAATATACTACCTAACAGATGCTACTGGTACAACTATTCACTAGCGTCAAAACGATACACGTGCTAGACCAATATGATTGAATGAGGAAATAAGGCCAGTACCACCAAACCAACTGCCATCGGAAGCCATGCCACTACCCACGTGGATTGTCTCAAATGATGCTCTTTACTTGCGATCAATAGCTTTTAGCTTCTTTTTTTTTTTTTTTTCGTCTACTTAATTTAGTCTCTATTTTGTGTATTTCCTTGTGCACCAGTCCCTATTCTATGGTGTTGGGTAATTAAGTCCTTGATCATTTGTTTTTCAATTTGTTAGTTATAGATTTAGTATGATCCTGTGTCGATCTATGAATTTTGTGTTCCTGGTTATTTTATTTCAAGACTAGGCGGGTCTTATACAAATTTTGAGTTTAAAAGATCAAGGGTATAATTGAATTTGAGGTCTTTTATTTTATTTAACATATTTTTAAAGGTTTTGAATTTTATTTATGTGATCTCTGTGTGTCTAAAATTTGATCTGATCGAGATTTGAGATATGTAGCATTTAGTGTTTACAATTTTTTTTATTCTATTAATAATTGGGGTTTAAGGATGATAAACATATTACTATTACTATTATTTTAAAATATTCCAACAACCATATGGAAGCTAGTTGGTTATTTTAATTTCTATGTGGTCGTGTCTACATATATCATTTTGCATGTTTGATTTATACACAACTTGCATCATTATGTAATTGCTTGCCATCATATCGTTCTAGGTGTCTAGGTGTAGAATCTAAGGCCAACTAACAACTAAGTGTTTTATTATTATTAGTTTTATTTATTATTTTATTTTGTTATTGTCACTAATTTTTTTTCTTGGAGATTTATCTATAAATTTGATATTAGGCATCGGGTCTAGTTTTATTATTTTAAGTAGCATGGTCGATTGATATGGGCTCAAGACCCATATCTTTGTTATTTTTTATTTTATTTTTTTGTTAGCGAGTTTTGAACTTTTAACTTTTATTTTATGATTTGGTAGGTGAATTTAGGCCTAAGGTCTAAATTTACCTTATTTTATTTTATATATTTTATTTAAGCTTAGGTTAGTTAATTTGCAATTGAGCTTTAAGGTTTGACTTTTACATTTTCAATTGGACTTTAATGATCTAATGACAACTTAGGTGAGAGACTAATTTTTTTTAGTCTCCAA